TTATTTTTGGTGTGTAGGTAGCTGAGAGAGAGATGTACATAATTAAATGCAAATTATGCAAATGAGGACTTATTGCATAATTAATGAGGAAATTCTATAATTACAGTGTTTTACATTATACTATGTAACCTATGGCAGGCGGAACTTCAACAGATACTAATTATGCAAATGATGACCTAATTTGCATAATTAATGTGAAAATTCTATGATTTCGTAATGGTGAATGATGAGAATGTCATACTTGGGACATCTGTAAGTTAATCAAAAGTTAACATACATCACGATGCATATATCATGTTAATGCAGAGGTCATTTGAACAATTAAAGAAGAAATTTTCATTTACATATCAAGATCATATTTCATGGAGGTATGAGATCTCGGAATTCTAGTTTAGTCTATTTCTGTCTTTTAGGATCCCGTAGTTGTTACAGTATTTCTGTACATAGTAAGTTTGGCTGATTTAGTCTAATTCCCTATATACAGCTCTTGTTCGAATTGTAAGCTTTTGCAAGTAATTTCAAACTATACACCTGTTTTAAAATGTAAGATAAGATTAAAATGCCAATTTCTTCGGCTTGATACCTGAGTACTTAATTTGGAAGCTGCATGATGTCTACAGCATGACCAAGAGTAAGTAATTGTTTCGCTTCTAATATGCCTGTAAAATCTAAACAAAAAGAAAGTAAAAGAAGATTAAATATCAAGTTTTAAAATGATACCTATTTTATGGGCGAGAAACAATTTTGCGCCGAAGAATTATAATCCTATAACTTATCGATGATGATAATATTGATCGTTTATGAAGGATAAGGTGAACACTATGGCCTGTTACCACAGTTTTCAAGTGTCAGACATATGTACACATGTACTGACATTTGTATAGTTGCATACGAATAACAATGACATGGGTCTTATTTCAAAGGCTGTCAGAAAGTCTATTAGTACAGTCCGGACTTTTTACACTAATATAACAACATAAGCTGTAAAATTACTCCAATACAGAGGTTCGGCTTCTTCTCCTTGTTTATTTGTTATGTTGAAAATTTAGTTAGGCATGGGAAAATGTAGTAAGGCAAAGCGCATGCCATAAGAAATATGAGCTAGTTAAGAATGAAAGGTATAGAAAAGTTCTTGTAACATAATTAAAAATATTACTCTATCGTTGCTATATAAAATACAATATATGACGAAGTGATGTCATCCTTTACCTTCTACGTATACCAAGCTACAAAATTGACAAATTCTTTGCTACAGAGGTGTTCTGTGCCTTTCCGATTCCATACGGAGTTTATGACAGCTGGTTGGTAGTTTGATAATGATAGTTATTTCATGTTCGTTTGGAATTTTAATATATTCTTCTTCATCATGGCAGATTTAAATAATCTGTACAAGCGCAGTTCGTTCTTTGTGTATTCATGTTTGTATTCATATTTCGCGTAGAAATATCTAATATCTGGAAGTAAATGACGTACGTTAAGGAATAGAGGAGACTAATTTGGTAGCCGCCTTTATACCGCTTCTCATATCAAGAAATTAATTTTTGGACGCCATAGGTAGTGTAAGTCCCTACAAAATGTAGCTTCATCTGGGCTGAAATTTTACCACCGCAATGTATGTATCATCGCAGTTTTCTCTTTCTCCAAATTGACCAGGGAACGTTGGCATCAATGGAAGGGTGACGAAATTGGCTATTACACTGTGAAGTCAGCTAGTGGGATATAGTTGAACATTAAAAGACAGGCGGAAAAAAAAAACTGACCAAAACATGCTAATGTTTGGAAAACCATACCGTCCATTGCCATTTTGCAATGCACGGAATATCTACAAAGTTTTATTGGAAAAATCTGTGGATATGAAAAAAGTGTAAACGTTATGTAGGTCTAAACTAAAGTCTAGGCCACACTGGTGAAATATTATGGATGAAATCCGCGCGCGCACTGAATTTCGCCTGTTAAAAAAATAACTAGGCTATAGCCTGAGTGCCATATGCATCATCCGTATTGTCCATGGTAGCTAGAGACAATATGGCGGAGGTGGGAACTACTGAGGACGGCGCCCAGCCTGCCGAAGCTCCTTGGAACTCATTAACTAAGTACAGAACCGACTCATAGATGACGGAAAGGTCAGTATGTGTCTGTTTGTCGTAAAATTAGATATGTACTACTGCAAATCCACAGTACCAGCTTTACATTCCTGTGGTCTATAGCAGCAATGTTTTTTTTGGGGGGGGGGGGGCACGCACTACTTGAAATGATGTAATCCATAAAATTACGTCAGTGTGGCCTAAGCTATGTGGTTTTATGGTCGAAATGATATATTCTCAGAGTTACACACTGACGCCATGTCCACTACGACTTCACCACGTCTCATTGAATTATCTGGCAATAGCAGGGCTCAACATTCATTTTTGAGAATGGGTGCCACAATTTTTTTTTCTGGGTGCGCCGTATAAAATCATATAACTACAGTATGACGTCATTCGAATCGAACGGGTGTTCAATCCGGGGTTACCCGCGGTCATTTACATGCAGTAAACAAGCTACAACCCGCTACTTCAAGCCCGTTTTTACATGGGAACCACCGAACAGAAAAAAAATCTACCTTTGCACAAATATGAATCATTTACATTACATGTATGCCGTGATTTTATTGTGGATATTTAACATCTGAGCGGAACTGCTGACATCGTCGCAGATGACCTTAAAAGTCAGAATTCTTGTTTACGTCGTTATCCAAATCAGGTCTTCACATCCAAGTAGCGTGGCATGCGTGCAAACATGGTGGTATTTATGATATTTTAGGTCATTTTTTGGCTGTAATTCGAGTTTTAGTAAAAATGCTTGAAAAAAACAACAAGACCGAAACTTTAGATTCACTGTAAAATTTCTAAAAATTCAAAAATCAAACCTTATTTTTTTTATGTTCGAGGCCCCTCAAAATCAGTTGTTTGGTTGTCGTAAACCTTTCTTGAAATCGAAAATTGATCTAATTCGGAAGCAAAATTTAATGTACACAAATGTGAACAAAGGCAGAGAAAGATCATTACTTAAAGTAAACAAAACCACTTGTTTAATTCTATTTTGACGAGGATTTACTTTCCAATAACTTTTGTTTATTTTTTTTTTAATTTTACCCGTTTTCCCGGGCCAACCGGGGAATCCCACGTGGCCAAGGTTCGGTAACCCGATACCTCCCTAGTAACGCGAATTTTAGCCAGACAACCGACCGCCGTGTACACAACAAAGACCTGATAATTTTCCTGATATTTAAATGTCAACAATATACTGCATGCTAGTACCTCTACATATGTAGACTTATGTAGACATATGAGTGCAAAGCCCCAAGAAAAATGAGTGAAAAGCCCCAAGTTTGGGTGCACCAAGGTGCACGTACACCCAGTATTTCGAGCCCTGTGGGTAGAAAACAAGAGCTGGCCTGAGCTGGAGGTAATGATTATTGATGATTCACTGTTCAATAGCATAAAAGGGGGCATGTGTGGTGTAAATCCTAACCTTACATGAGTTACAACACATTTTATTAAGGATGATAAGAAAATGTATTTTGGTGCCGTAGGCACTTTAAAAATGACTAACATTTAGTAAGATAAAATCTCTGCTTTCATTGGTTCTGATAAACCCCTAATATACCCTCTCAATTTCAATATTAGCCTGCAAAGTTTGGTCTTGAAAACAATGGAACTCACGTTACATGAAAAGCATATGAAACGTATGTTCATGTCTTTATCAAACTTATCCGGATAGCCACCACAATTTCAGGAATTTTCAGCCAAAAATGTTTGATTTTCAAGGGTCTCTGAGGGGGTGGCAGAACCCATAATGTAAAATTGGCTGGGGTATTTTAATCATATGGCTGTCGTTAGCTGTGCATAACTATTACAAGGTTTGGACCGATTTGACCAGACACATCATCCGACTCCACCTGTTGTTTTCCTATTATCTAATGAAAATGCTTGGCTTATTTAAATCTCAAGACCGATTGATTCACTAGCTTTGGCATGGACATTCTCTGTATAGTGCAACAAGTTATTAATGATTACGACAAAACATATAACCAATCTTGAATACATCTGTACATCAATTAAAGTACTGAGTCTACAAACACATTAAACAAGTTTGTAAATTCTTAAAACAAACAGACCAAACGGGATACGCAATGCGTATGTTCTATCATTCAGGTGTTCTCTAAGAATACAAGCGTGAACACATGTTCAACACAAATACGATATTTTTTTCTTTTTTCCCCTATTTTTCCAAGACTAGGACTATACACCACTCGTAGGCATTGGAATAATTTCGGGTTTCTGGTACTGCATTTCTTCTCTCTTAGTAAAAATGATCAACATTTCCAATTTTGAATATTGTTGTCCAAATTCTAATTCAAAATTTGATATGTTTCAGCTAAAGCAAAATTTTAAGTAGGCTTTGGCTGAACTATATCAAACTGCGTATTAAAATCTGGACAACAATATTCAATTCTTCTTTCATTAAATTTTTACACTTTAATTTTTAAAACCGCCTACCCGATTTGTAATGAAAGTATTTTTACGCATTAGTCGCACTAGTGCATAACAAATTTTGTTCAAGAAACCAAACATGCTCATGTACATATAGTTCGAAGTCGCATGGATCAAGATTTGGTGTGCAGATGACAAGTGAATAAACAAGCCTACCTCAGCCCTAGTCGAGGTAGTCGACGATCTGCTGGTCTTCCTCTTAATGTCAATTTTAATTAATTTAAGTTGTTCAGTAGTCAGGTTTCAGATTTTAAAGTACGTCGTCATATGTTTGAATGAATATAGAACTTTGTCCTTGTACAGTGCTGTTTCAAGTCCACGGTCCTGTTTCGTTTGAAAGGTTTACGACAATCCTTATTCCGGTGTCTTCCTTCAGGGTTGACTTTTGGTTCACAGGATTGTATCCTCTCCCCATGCCCACTTCGTACGCACAGCTGGCCGGTTCAAAGTGCCTCCTGATGTTGCCTAGTCGATCTTGGTGTCCAAATATAGTTCAGGGACGTCTGTTGTCTCGGCATCCGTCTGTAGTTGACCGGGAAGCGTTACGGTCATGCCCTCCTCTTCGGGACGCGGTGTTGGCTCAGCGCGTACCTCTGCCCTCACTGTTAGCCGCAACGGTCGGCCTGAAGCGCTCTCGGCCAAGCTACTCTGTTCGAGGCGCTGGTCCAGGGATGCTTGTGTGGTCTGCTTTCGTGCTTGGTCGCAAGGTATGAAGTCCGCCTTCGGCTGGATGATCGTTCCCTCTGAAGAGGTTTGAGCTGGCGCCATCTCTGAGACCGGCGCGCCGCGACTGGGACCGGTGACGGTGGCCATCTCCACTTCGTCCTGCCGGTGCCGCCGTGCCGGTACCGCCGGTGGGTTATAATTAGCGTTGGTCCGCCATCCACACAGCTCCCTGCAGGCTCGGCGGAACTCTGGCAGCCGGAGGCTGTAGATGACGGGGTTGGCCATGGATGATAGCGTCAGGTACAGGAGGAGGGCCACACGTGCAGCGATGATCAGGGCGCGTTGGGACATCTGTTCCTCACTGATGACAGCTCTTAGCGTGGCTATGCGGAAAATGGTAGTGGTTAAGGATGCGATCAAAACGATAGCATGCGGTACCATGACTTTGAATGCCTTGGTCTGGAACACCCACAGGTCACGATTCTCGTCCCTTTCCTGCTGTCTCTTGGCCTCCAAGAAGATACGGCAGTAGATTATGAAGACGGAGAGAGCAACAAGTATTCCGAACAGTACGTTCGTGCTTCTGAAGATGGCAGATAAGGAGGTACTGTTAGCAGGCTCGATCTCACAACGCAGGTTGTATTTGGGCAGTCCGCCGAAAATCACAGGAGCTAGTCCGCCGAAGAGGGAGAAGGTCCTGAACGCCAGGATACCCATGAGCACACGTTTGGTGGTGACTTTGTCATGGTAGTGTAGGGGATGGCACACGAAAAAGTACAGATCTACTGCCATCATGACGTATGTACCGAACATAGATAGCAAACATGCGGGCCCAACCAGAACCTCAGCCGAGCACCACAGTTGCTCCCCGCTGGCATCTTGTCGGAAAAGTGCGTAGATTCGGACGGGAATCAGGCAGCCGGTGAAGACGATGTCGTCTACCGCCAGGTTACACCGTAGGAAGTTGCTGGGCTTTTGCAGGTACTCTTTCTTCCAAACCAAGAAGATGAGCAGCAGGCCGCACCCCACAGACAGCACCAGGCTGATGATGAGATATGCCGTCTGCAGATCGCGAGATGTTGAGCCGAGGGACAGAACGTGGCTGATGCCATATTCTACTGGCGAACCGTCCGTTTCTTCTTTCATGTTGGTAGCACGAAAACACTTAATTTAGCAAGGAAAAGTGCTTTTCTTTCTGGTAGGCAGAACTCAGAAGACAACAGTGTACTCAGTGACATGCACTGGCTAAAGACAGACAATTTATTGAGGCAAGCGATAGAACGTGATATCTTAGCGAGAAAAATGTTGTTGAAAACAGCTTTTGTGTATGAAGCACCCTCTGACGTAGGACTATTCAGTAGCTGATTTTACATGACAGTTTTTAATAACTGATGTGGTCTAAGCCTTTGTGCCTTACGCTGTAGCTATCCTATATGTAGGCTACATCAGATTCATTAGATTGTTCCATTTCAACATTTCCAATTACAACATTCTTGCTATTCACGCCTAATGTAAAGCACGGAATGGCATCTAACAATAAAATCATTTGAAATGTATCGACATAAAGGTTTCCAGTAAAAGCGGTTATTAGAAAATTCTTGCGGTTATTAAATATTTTAATATCTAACTATCCGCAAGATCTAGAGGCCCTCTCGCGGCAACATAGGCTGACCACAGTTAACTCAAACCAAAAACAAGCGTATACGTTCTACTTCCGGTATATATGTACGTATACCGAGGCTTTCCGACCTAACCCTGTAAGAAACAAGCTCATGTCAAATCAAATCTTAAGTCTCAAATTTTAAGCATTAGATTTTTAGCCCCAAGGCGGCTTGTTATTGTTCTTAAGCTGAAAGACGATTTGGATATCTCATAATCTGGACATGCTAGAGTCACGAATACTGTAGGTGTAACTTAGAAAGAGGTGACGTGAATTTTGGTCCCTGCAGAAACATTAGATGGTACTGTATGTGCAACCTACACAACTACGTCACCGCAGGGCAAAAAAAAGTCAGGGTCTATGACCTGATTAAGACATCAAATTACTTAAAAATATTGTTTCAAAAATGCCAGCAGGACAGGGGTTAAAAGTTTTTAAAAGTTAAGAATCGGTTGAAAGATCATCGGGAAGAAGTTTAAGAATAGCCCTCTACCATAACATAAGACGGTCATAAGATGGACAATATGATCTAGTTATATATAATCCATGCGAATCTTGCTTACATGATCAAGGATGAACATTCAACATTCGTCAACGTTAACATCTTTTGGCGATGATATGAGATCGTGAAACTCTAGTTGCAATTTAAACCTCCTCTCACAGTAAAACCACATTATGTACGGATGCAAACTTGAAGACGAAGTAAGCATGCATGCAAAATTCCATTTTTCGTGTGTACATGTAGAACTCCATGCTTTTAAACAACCATGACACCCACCTTACTTTTGGATTGGGTTTAGCATACGGTCTGGTTACAATACAGTTATGGATCGTTATGGGGTTCACAGTAAGGGAAATGTTCTATGATTAATTAGGCAATTGAAATAAACGCGATAGAAATAGTCACCGCCCAGCATCCGGGTGGCGGACAGGAAGTGGCGTCTCTGCCCATTGAGGAGCTAGAAGTTTGCGTCTGCAGACTACAACAAACGCACACATAAAACATAACATAAGAGCAACTACCCCATCCAACACCCATACCCCAACCGTGACAGAGCCCTCAACCAATTTAGGTTGCGCACGTATTGGAAAAAAAGAAGAAGAATACTATAGTTTGGATCTTTTTGTACCTGTTGGCTTATAGTTGACGCTCAAAGCTCACCAGAGATCTACTAGACCATACTCTTTTCTCCATTTCTTTAACAGTCCCGACCACTGGTACTACACCGACTACCACTACAAAAGCGGGTTTCCCATTTCTGTGACCTCTCGGTATTCTTCACTACACTGACTCGACTACAGTGACTACACTAAAACAGCCCAAACTTTTTTTGGCGACGCCTCAGGGAGGAGCCTATTGGTACAGTATTGTGTGCAATTCGCAAGAATTTTAGGAATTGTACAGATAAGTTGTCCATAGGCATGGAATGTCCAAAGGAATGTCTCCCAGCTATATTTGTTGACATGCCCACATTCCTGGAAACCCTTGGGAGAACCTGTCTGCCGGATGCCCTACCTGCACTTTCTGTGACCCCGGGGCTTGTTCACTATACACTCAGGGCAAGGCTTCCTCAAAATCATGAAATCATAACAGTGCCATCAAACAATAATCCTACCACTAGTACCAGCAACCGCCATCGCCATGGCAATGTATGTTCTCATTGCCAGTCTTATTCTTCGTGTTTTCAACAGTCCTGACCACATTGACTACATCAACTATCACTACAAAAGCCCGCTTCACTGGTCTGACTTTACATTTACCGTAGCATTCTTGCGTTAATGCGCGGGGGCAGGGTGTCCTAGCGCCTTTAAATGCGCTCGCCAACGTATTACACGAACGCCCATCGTGTCATTGCGCCGAGGAGGCGCCGTGCGGGCCCCGATTTTGAATTGTGACCAACATGTAGGCTTTAGAAATGGGCATTGAAAACCTTATGTTTAAATTATATAAGGTCACAATTTTATATTTTTTGTAACAGAACTGCCCATGTGTTCCAATGATATGTCTGGATATAAATGGTGTTTAAACATTTTTCTTCTACGTAGCCATGTATTAATGGATATAATCTGCAAGGGAATTTTTGATATGAATAGTGGGTTTGATCACCCTTTATTAAACTTTTAAGGAGCAAACCGCTTACGTGTTCACAAAATTTGTCTCGATGTGGGTGGTGTTTACGACGTGTGTATGTATAAATTGATGCAATCAACTAGCTAGTGGCATTTATTTTAAATTAAGGGTTTATAATTTAGTGCTTTAGCTGAATAGAATTTTGTGTCTGGCACTGTGCGTGAGTCGCCTTGCCTGGTGCAGGTCGTGTTTTGTATCACCATGTCAGGACGGCAGCAACGGTCTCAGACAAGTGACACAGGTACGTTTGGATAGCATTGTCAAAACATTCTATGTCTTATCATTAGTATGCAAACTTGAAGAAATTGCAAAGGAATTTCCGTGCATGGTAATCCATAATGCTTTTATTTTGCATCATTTTTTTAGCTGTCCGACTGTTTGTTGATAAGCCGTCAATAAACCTCTCGTCATTTTAACAAGGACTGAATTGAATTTTCTTATTTTCTATTAGGGGAAACACCCATGCAACAACCTCTGTCTTATTGGGAATCAGTTGCGGACGACGCCGCAACTATAAAGAACCGTTTGTACTCCTCCACAGCAGGTAAACATTATCAAACATTATACTAGTAGTCTTTGCATTTTTCGGCATCTTATTTCTTGCGTTTAGAACCCCGGCTATTTTTACAGAAAGATAACTCTATTGTTTTTTTTTATGAATTTTCTCCCAAGACACAACACCCATGCCGAAGCCTCAGTCTTATTTTAAGGCACGTGCTGACGCTGCTGCGAAAATACACAACCCTACATACGCCTCTAATGCAGGTAAATCATTTATTGTCTTTATAATTTGACAGGTTTTGTTTGTTTGTTTGTTTGTTTGTTTGTTTGTTTTTATTAGATCTCCATTAGTGTTCAACTGACCACTATTCTTCCTGGAGTCCACATAAAATTCAAAATTATAACAACAGAAATGTACAGAATTCAACACAATATTAACATAAATTAGTTGTGATAAACGCCTGAGCTTTTCAACAGACGACTGCATTTATTTTACTTCTGTTGATGTTCCTACAGGCACTACACCCACGGACCAGTCACAGACTGATTACGAGGCACGTGCGGACGACGACGCAAACACACCCGGCACCACGTACGCCTCCATAAGAGGTATTTTCTTTATGGCAGATATATGTAAAAAGCAAATATTTAGAAAAAGTTGCCAAAGCTAACAAAGAATGCATTTTTAATTGGGTAAAGTGGAATCCATGTGTAATGATATTGGATAATGCATAAGCATTGGTGTCTGCCGATAGAAGATAGAGACTGTTGGGCTGCTATTTTGACTCGAGGTCAGGGAACCAGGACTCGACATAAGTCAAGTCAAGTCAGTCTGCAGATAGTGTGTTACATCCAAGGAATGAGATATCCTTCCGCGGAAAGGTTCTGCTTTTTGTTTTGTTTGTTTGTTCAGGCTTAACGGATTTCTTTGATTTCTGGTACATGGGTGGTTGTTGTATATTGGGGTCCACGTGATGCGGATTGTTTTTTCTCGTTGTATCTGTACATTCAGGTGTTAAATTATAATTTGACACCCCCGAGCAGAACACGGTGTGATCGTCTAAGGTTAGGGGCTGTTGTATGCATTAACCCGTCAGGTTTATACCAGTTCTAAAAATGGGGGGGGGGGTGTTCTCCATAGAATTCTGTTTTTGGTTGGGTTTGCTTCTTCGTACCTACCTATGACGCATGATTTCGTGGTTGATTATTCATGTCCAAAAGAAACATGTTTTTTTGGTGGCATTTGAGAAACATTTAGCGAGCTACTTACTAGTTACATTTTTTGAAACCACCGTACTGCATGAGGTATGGTTAAGCCTTGTGGGACTAATTACCTATATCACACTACTTTTGACAAGGCGGGCTAGCCTCTATCTATAATTTTGATACAGACCGTCTTTTACGTCGTGTAGCGTTACTAATAACAATGCTATGAACCAGGTTTAAACTGTAATATCCAGCTAAAAAAATGGACTCACCCAATTTTCTGACCGTACAACTCAAATCTCTGTCAAGAAATGAGCAATCCACCTCTATAGCGCTTTTGTGGCCTCGAGCTCACGCAGAAAACGCACTCGACTTCGTGAGCAGTGGATCATAGGTTGCAAAAAGTCTGTAGCGCCCCCCGTCTCTGTTGAGGGATGGTTGTAATGTCCTGATGTAGATGGCCTCTTCATGATCAATCCCTCGTGCCTAAATGTCCACTTCTGTGTCCAAGAGACACAGAAGTCGATAAGCTGTCAATAAACCTCTCGTCATTTTAACAAGGACTGAATTGAATTTTCTTATTTTCTATTAGGGGAAACACCCATGCAACAACCTCTGTCTTATTGGGAAACAGTTGCGGACGACGCC